AAATGAAGAAGGATGATTTTTCTCGGAACACCGTCACAACAGAGTGCATTTGACGCAAATTTGTTCATTATTCATCAAAACATTACATTTATGAAGCTTCCTCTTCCAACAAGAGATGAAGAAGCGCAGTAATTTGTGTTTGAGAACTGGAGGAAACCGGAAAAAACACTCTGTCATCTGTTCGGCAAAAAAAATTATTTGCGCTGATACTAACTCGTTGAGCATTGTCCTACACTATTTTTTGAGTTAAAACTATTTTGAGCTGTTCACATATCTGCATTGGTATTTGTGCAAATTACACCATCAACGCGGTCGCAAACACTGGAATCATAGAGACGCACCTATAATGAATCTTAATTTATGAGCGATAACAGGCTAAATTGCAGTTAGCAAAGCGAGTAAGGTTCATATGGCCTAACGTATAGATGCATACAAAGAAGATGATCGGCTACATTGCACATGTTCCTACTTGAAACGTACACCGAGTATTATTTGACGATACATATACAAATTACCGACAGGAAGCAGATTGTGACAGCTCCACATGCACCTTGATCTTGACATTAGTAGCGTTACAATTTGATCTTGCACCTTTTGGAGGCAGATGGAATTTAACTTTCATTATTCACTGGTAAGACTTTGACACATTCACAGTACCGTTATAATTAGATTTATGTCCCTCGTGAAACCATGTAACTTCATGTTTTCGTGCTTCTCATGCTCATAGTGCATTTCTTACTGGTACATTTTCACCTTGACGGCTACAGTTTATTTTTAATGTGCCTGCGATCTTTATGAATTGTGTAAAATACAGCTATTGTGCTTGTGTAAGTAAACTTTTTACCACGCGAAATCTAAAATAAATGAGAAACAATTACGCAGGATGGAAGTGAAAATGAGATAGAGGTGCAAACTCTGGAGCTCTCTTTTGCAAAAAGGTACTTTTAGTAAGATTCGAGTTTAATTTCTAAAGACTAATCCTCACTTATACAAATGACTAGCAATGATGAAAGTCCATGTACGGTTTTATGTTTATAAGCAATAGTGATGATGGATTGTGTTAGCAGAGCAAACACTCCAATTCGTATTTAAAATCGACAGGACAATTACGCGCAGCTTTGAATTTAATTTGACGGACAAGAAATGTTGTATATTCATAACCAAAAAATGAATGGAAAATGGGGAAAGCCGAAGACGAAAAAGACAGGAATGGTGGCGAAGAGACTATAAGTGCATTTGTGTACATTTACAGATCATCAAAAACAGCGGCACAGATGTCACACGATGAAAAAATGAGGTCGTACAGAACCATCATAAGTGTAGTATCGCGTGCATAAAATTACAAATTGCAATCATCATCACGCAATACTGCACGTTACTGCTCTTCTTATAATCAACACATCTAAAATGGTAGAAATGCGCATTTACGTGAAAATGACTTACTCTCGTTATTCAATGATATGTTATGTTTTTTAATAGTTATGCCATAGTCAAACTTCCGCAGAAATTGAGAGCCGCTGTGACGTTTACCCGGCTCTCCACAAGTTTAGGATGCGTCGTTTAAAGTGGTGGCTAACTTTGTGTCACGAATATCGCGAGTGCAGAAGGATTGAATTGGACTGACCAAACGTTTGTAGTATAAATGCTAGAGATGACATATTTGCGGATGACTATTACACAAGGTACGATCTTTAGGTGTATGCACTAACGTGACTTCTCGTTTGAGCAGGCTGGTACCGTATTATACATGGTTGCTAAACGGGTAGATTATATACATATATTGGCCAATCAGAATTATCTGGTTCAGATGATTACTTAATGTAAGAAAAGAGAGCGAATCCGATACCCCCCTGAATGATTAGGGTGCAATTGTCGTGATCAGGCATCCTCGTATGGAGTGCGCATGAATAGGCGAGTAGATGTACGTCATTACGCATAGCGATTGCAAATCTGATTCGTATTTTGTTCGCGAAGAGGACCCACAACAACACACATCTCGATTAATTCGCCAAGTCGTACGCACTGCACACGATCATTTTTATGACCGTAATCACTTACCCCTAGCGTTTGTCATAACGCACATCTCGTTTTCAATATAACGGTACCTCCAAATAGTTACATGGCCTTGGATACACATTTGAAACTTCGCCTTAGCGAGAGCTCTGTCTTCTCACACCTATTTTGTAATATCTGAAAAGAATAAATTACGTTTCTTTAATCGTCTTCTGGACGCCAAATATGCCAAAATATACAGTAATTCGCCCGCCATCGTTGTAATTACTTTTTCGACCGACTTGAACCGGCGGCAGATTGTGAGGCCAAGCTGAAGAAATGCGGCGGCAGATTGTGAGGCCAAGCTGAAGAAATATAGTGGTAAGGACATTACTCGGCAGTAATTATCAATGTGTGGGTGTGTTTTGTCAGCCATGTTTACGATGTGGTGTATTTTAGGACAGTCCTACCGAGATTGGGAAGTACACCTACTGAATTTGGTATTTGTTTGTATACGTAGTGGGATACTAGTACTGAGACAAATTTTTTCTCAATGCATATTCAAAGCATAGCTGGAGTGCCTCGAGAAATTTCATATTTCCAAGTAGCTACAACGGATGGAATGATGTAAGGAGTTTGGAATGATGTAAGGAGTTTTGATTTTTCTATATCATTCCAAGCTCTTTGTTGCATCGTATATCGAGATGTTGTTTGCAAAATCTAAAACAATCTGTCTGATGCCCCAGCAGTCGTCTGATGCAATCTTCCGTCAACACGAAAATCCATATTTTCCTAGCTCGTATCAACGCATTTAAGCAGGCATCAAGAATACATCGCTCTTCTACACGATACAACGTCCCTTACCATTAGCACCTCAGCTCGCGTATATTTCGTTATAACACGCTTCTGAGATGAAACAATTTGACACGTCGCAGCAGTTAAGACTAAGCTGAAGCAGTTGGGATCACCTATACCGTTGGATCTTGGACTTTGCAGCAAACGGCGTCTCCGTGTTGTACCAGATTGGGGGCTAAGGAACAAGTCAACAAACGGGCATTGACTGCAGCAAGCAGGGATAGGGTAAGGAAAAAAAGATTCGACAGTTTTCAGCTGCCACTACACGCATGAGCTGATTGTGAAGTCTGAAAAGTGCCAAGTGCCGAGCAAGTCGTCTAAAAGAGCCAAGCTTACTAATGCATTAATATGTGTGCGAAGTACTATCTTGTCAGAGCTCTACGAAGAAACCGATTCCATTACTCTTGCTATCATCTGAAATGAAGTGGCCTTCGATGTAGACTCGCTTGTCAATTCCTAGGAGCGTCTTTGAAATACATCGAACGTCCAGGTAAGTTGGCGGTCGCGCGGAACGGAGACAGTACTAGGACCATTAAAAGTTGTTGCACTCGTACTAGACCAAACTGAATGTCACTGCTTTGTAACGCGACCATGTACACGTCAAGTAGTCGATGTACATATTGAGTGTCGTATAAGTGTGCACTTAACGATTTACTCTTTTGTCGGATGCTGCTACTCTATTTGTATGATCGCTGATCCTACAGGCTCCCTAAGTGCTACATGCCAGGTATTCCACAGCAGAAACATCATAATTGTATGGTCTCATTCTATTTACGTGATTCTTCCATGTCCTTGCAATTTCGTGTTGTGCAAGCATCGCGTTGCTTTTAGTTGGCGACGTTCATCATGCTGCATTGCCAGCATGAGCTCTTCCATGCAACTATTAGCCCAAGTATGATTTGAACAATGTTATAAAGGGGAATCATATAAAGTTGATGCTCCAACCGCATTGCTTACTGATCAAACTTGGGATCTGGGTACTCTATGTAAACGTACATACATGCGTATTTGAAAATACATGTTTATCTACATTTGTATAGACATATTGCGATTGCAGACAAGAAAGAGGGAGGAGACGACTTTAAGCGATTCTGCTACGATCCGTTGCCCTATTTTTCCAGGGCGTTAAATACACCAACCCATGTCAAAAACACAGTTCAAAAGTGCTTGTTTGCTGAGAACTCTACATACAACCAGGCGCAGCGCTCAAAACACAGAGGTTATATTTAGGCTACCCATTTGTCTTCTATTTACACGCCAACGACAGTTACAAAGATATCCCTCGACTTTGCTCTCTTCGATACTAGTGGAGCAATACTGCATACAGTCTTAGTTGAAACGCATGCTCTCTGTTGCCTAAACTTTCGCTATGATCGTGAATCAATGGAATATTAGGCTTTTGGCTTGGACAAGATAGTGATTTTCGTGACGCACGATCATCCTCAAGGTGATATAACTGCGAAAAACGACTTTGTATCGCTACGTATTCGGGCCCATGTAAGAGTTCAAATCAGATGAAGTTGTCTGCGTCCGTGTGGGTTGCAATTCGGATTGCAGACATTCATGTTGTTCCCACAATGCTGCCGTGTGTGACATCCATTACAAACTGGTTTCTGATGTCCGCAGCCGGGTCCACGACTATTATCTGTCTGTAAAAATGCATGACATGGCTTGTGGAGATCCGTCTGATTCGTGCAAAATTCTCGTTGTGTGAACAAATCTACATTGTGGTCATACTAACACACACTTACAGTGATATGATGCCACGATCTGACAAGGCTGAAGTGTAAACAAATAGTTCACGAGGTAGGTGACACAACAGCCACCTCACCTGATTGATTCACGTTGGATGGATCCTACTTAATGACGCCTCTACGTCTTGCTATGAACAATCTGCTGGATGGATTCAGGTGTCGATGGATAAGATGAAGCATTCAGTTAGGTACGGTAGATTAACGTGGTATGTAGTACATTCGCATTTCTACCTTTATTTCCTTAAGACCCTCTCGAGCAAGGCCAGTATGACAATCACCCCTCTGAAAGCCAGGGGTGTGTCATATCACTATATATAAAATCTGAGCAAGATAGGATAAGGTAAAGGTAGCCTCAGCATGGGACGCTGAGATGAATACGAATACGTCACCTACACCATAATGGTAACACCAGCAAGGCCCGACCTACCCGCAGAGACGGTGATGATCAAGATCAAGAAGTTCACAATTGAATCCCGAAGTAAGTGGCTTCGCTGGACCAACCAGTTGTGCAACCTCGCCCAGAAGAAGCAGTGGACACATGATCAGAAGGCACACAACTGAGTTAAAGCCGATACATATCGGATTTTAAAGCCTAGACGATTTGGCTGAGTACGAGGTTGTACTGGCTAAATCGCTCGTGGGATGATAGCCAGCTATATGGATGTTACCGCTGGGAAGACCCAACGAACTCAACTTCATCTAATCTGCACGGCGCCAGAATTAAAAATAACAAGGGACCGCGATCATAGGACCGCGATCATAGGACCACGATCAAGGGACCGCGAATAGGGGAGCGCGATCTGGCGTGAGCCACGTGAGATAGAAGGATTGCAAATCCATTCGGCATGGAGAAGACACGTGGCCGTCAATCCTGACGTACGGACGTGGCTATAGTTTTGGTTTTTGGTTGGTTAACATTAAAGAGAGTGTAATTTGCTTCTAAACGCATACGTGTCGCTCTTCTTCCGGGTTGGATATATGGTCTCCCGACGTCGAAGAACTTCGACACCAAGGGCAGGAAGATCACTCCTGGAGCTATTTGGCCAGGAGTGCAAGGACTCTCAACACATCTCAACTGCGATCGGACGCAGGCAACCTTACTGGTTGAGTACAAGATCGCGAGATGGTTCAACTGGTCAGAAGGCTCGCGACTCAAGTACCCCAGTTTTGCCACAAGGCAATCAAAGCTGTGCACGGTAACCCTAGGAGAGCTCCAACAAAGAACACGCGATCGGGTGAGCAATTTCCACCCGATCAACACCAATTTCTGAAACGTCAAGCTCAGCATCGAGTCAAGTCCACCTAGAAGAGTGCAACCCGCCTTACCGACGGGTACACAAGGTGAGGAGGAAACAGGTGCAAACAAAATCGGAGTACCCGATTTTTTAGTCGGTTATCTGGGCGCCAGTGGAGAGTCGGGATCGCCTCATAAAGTGAGAGGACCCCACTTTACCACAATGGTGCGAGTGCCTTGACCTTTTGGTGATTCGGGATTTTTCCGTGAGTCCCATGATGAAGATACTAAGATCAAGATTTATTCTGGGCTTGAAGCGCCAGCAGGAGATGGATCATTGCAGACATTCAAAGAGATCATACATTAAGATCAACAAAGTTTTGGGAGGGACCATGATGACACGAAAGTTAAAGAGGACGATCAGTCGGCTGATCTTACAGAGAAACCTCGACCCCCTCTTAGATTCCCTTCGGGAAAAACCGCAGATCGTGCTGCAAAGCACAATCCGCTGGATAAAAACCCTTCATCGAAAACTGAAAGATTTTCATTCACAACTACCGCCCAATCAAAGGCGAAGGTAAACACTCCCAAGTTGTCCCGGTCAAATAGAAAGACGGCGGAGACACAACTGAACAAGCAAGCGATTAAGGTGGAAGTTATGGCTGCATCAAAAGGCTGGTAGTTAAAACAATTTACCTGAAAATTTCTTTGGCAACAACTGTAGAAACTTCTCTCAATCGATCGACCCAGTCCTTAAAGTGTTGAAGCCTAAACTGATCGGAAGATCCGCGGTTCAGAGTCGCCATCGAATATGGCACATTATCAGCTGGAGGCAACACATCATCAAAACTAAGTGCTGGAAGAAGCTGGATTACGGCGTAGAGTTTGATGTACAAACCCCTTTGAAGTGCAACCACAATCGGTCGACTGCAGAACGGCCATTATGCGAGACGTTAATTCCACTGACACGGTCTTTAAACTCGACGGATCAACAGAGTAGAGACAAGAGGATACCGACAGAAGAATTAAGCTGATCGACCGCACTCTGAAAGAAGAACACCTGGACCAATTGATTGAGTCGATCGATTGCAATGTGAAGGATGAATGCAAAGGGTCCTCGCGCTATGCCTCGGCAGAATCAGATTAGGATTCTAACGAATCGCTTAGGATGCAACAGGTGTCGCTGAGACCGACGAGGGCAGCTTGCTGAAAGACAGGATCGACTCGGTCTATACTGAAATACGATCGGTCCATTACTGACCTCACAGAAGTCAAACACGGCGGAAATGATCTAGTTGCAAACGCACTTCAAGGCCGCTATGTACAACTTCATTCGCGATTGCGAAGAACAGGTAGCAAGACACCCGGTCGTTTAAGGACGGTCTACAAATTCGCAAGAGAGATACATTTAAGATGTCAAAATGGAATTAGCGAAAATAGATCGCGCTCGACCAAGCGAACACGAGCAAGACCGTAAGGGTTCTAACAAACTAAGACGACTGCAGGTGAAATTCGCAGAAACCGCACCTACGGTAGGTTTCAGCGCGCAGAGAATAAGGTTGTCGAAAATGAATGACCTGAAAACAATTTTCAGGACGGGACCAAGACAAAGATTGTGCTAGAAGCTAATTTAAAAAAATTAAGACTGCTTTTCTACACGATCAGGCTCCAGATGCGAGATTGTTTTGGTGTTTGAGGATCTGCTGACAAGGCCTATCCGAAATCAGTACAGTTATTTAAGCCGATCGACCCTCAATGAGTGGAACCCATTGTCCGAAAGTTCTATGGTCTAAGATGGGGGATACGGAATGTCAGCAGGATGACAGTATTACCACGCGCGTAAACGGCCGAATGAGACCCCGTTGAACTATCTCTACCTGCTGAAAATGGCAGGAATGAGAGCGAAGATATCGTTCAAATGGATCTCCTGCCAGTCAACGTAATCATGTGGAACAATTCATAGGTTATTTGGACGATCGATAGTTGGCGAAACAACTGACTCTATTGCGAGAGCATGACGCTGACACGATGGAAGATACTCTAGACGCGTATCAACGTGTGGGTTTCGACCCAAAAAAGAATCAGCCGAACCAAACAAATATCGATCGCCATCGGCTACATCGTCGGCCCCGGTATATTCAAAAATTCCGCGAGTAGTGAAAGTTCATTCGGATGAAAAGTAACGATAGCGACTCAGACTCAAGCTCGGACGGATCGGATGACGAAGGCTTTTGCCGCAAATTTTGTGTGACGACTACTTCTGATCAAGCTGAGACCCGATATAACAATGAGACAGATTGCACAAGACAGACCGGGATGATGATCGAGATTGCAGCGGGGTTTATAAAGCCTGCACACACTGTGGCTCGAAAAGACATGACGATCGCGGATGCTGAAAAAAAACTGATCCGTCCTAAGTGTGGCCGCAAAGGACGTCCCTTGGAAAAGTGCCTGCAGGTGTGTCCCGCCTGTGGAGAGGTTCCTGCGAGCGGTAGATGCCCCGTGGAAGGGTTTTACAACCTGATCCGAAAGTGGTACGTTAAATTAAGCACGCGGGACTGCTACCGACCAAAGCTGAGGTGTTGTTGAACCAGGACGCTCGCCGGGTTAAAATTTGGCACGAGCCGAACGTTCTGGGCTATGCATGTATGCATTCGTGGAGACGGAAAGGTTGATCAAGGAGATTACAGCAGGTTCGGCCCGATCGCTAATAGATTTGAGTTGGAAATTCATCATTTACGTAGCGTTTCAAGCGTGAAAAGGGTAGATAAATGTTCGCGATCTCCCAACAATATGGAGTTCGATCTAGCACAGTAGGAATTGTAAGGATGTTGGAATAATACACACCCGTAAAGTGTGATATACAGGCAAAAGCGGTCGGCAATATCAACAACAAAAAGGCCACCGCAATATTCGATTCTAGAGCGAAAGATTCGATCATAGACGCTACCTTTGCTCGTGAGGTGGTATGTACGATCGATAACAGTCAGCAGCAAGAATGTGTGGGGATCGGAGAAAACGCTTACATGACTGAGGGGCGTACCAAGATCAAAATAATCTTAAATGGATCGCTAGTATGTTATTTTGACATTTGAGTGGGCGATCAAGTTGTTTAAAAAGAAATCTTAGGTTTGGATTTTTATAGGGCCAGCCGGAATACGGTGGATCTAGCAGACGGTACGCTTTGTTTTCCGGATGAGGTTAAAAATTCACTTGGCCGGGCGATGACCTCCGAACGGAGTAAATATGCAACCGATCACTGCTTAGACCAATTTGTGTTGATCCCCGCCGCAGAACACACTGAGATGAAGATTAGAACAGGTTTTTCCAAACTCAGACTAAGGGCAAGGCGATACAAGAAGCGGGTACCGACAATGACTAATAGGCCTGGCTAGATAAAGTACTTGATACTGACTAACGTCGTCGATCGACAAGTGTTTCTAGATCACGATACTTTTTTAAAATGGTGGATGGTGACGGGAATGATAGCTCGGTCACCGGGATATGTGTCGGTCGGAATACGCCGGTATAAGGAATGGCAGATTCTGGCTTCTTTATCTACAATGGAGTTAACTAAATAACATCCGATCGGGTATTCGGGGCCCCGAGTGGGCCATGCATCTTATTCTACCTTAAAGAAGTTAATTTAAAAAGAAGATGTGGCAGATATCATAGGGCGTAATATCAAGGACGAAGATCGCCCGGAAAAGGAAGAGCAGCAATCGATAGAAGCGCCTGATGCGGTCAGTATGATGGCGTAAGCAGAGGATGGCGATCCGACTCAGAATTGGTCGGAAGAAGCGCTTAGAAAAGCGTAAACGATCGCAGGAGATAATGACCGCTCTCCGGGGTCAATCAGAAGCTCAAGCTGTCAGATCAAGAGAGAAAAACGTTACAGTATCAATGTGCATAGAAGACTCAACAGATGATAATCCGTTAAAACTTGCTATATACCGACATGACGCGGGCGATTTGTTCGCGGAAGATGTGGACCAACACATGGCCTTCTTGCCAGAAGTTATCGCTTATATGGAAGAAGTGGCTAAAGATGACATTTAGGCGTGCCAATAACAGAGGTTTAAGAGAAGTTGGGCAAGTGATCTGGAAATATCGCCACTTACTCATGGACAAGGGGAACGCCCTGCCTCCAGCTGCGCGTGGAGCAGTATGCTATATTGATGTAGGAAGTGCTAAACCAATTGCGCGGAGAGTACGACCGATGGCACCAAAATATCGAGAAAAACTGGCGGACCTGATCAAGGGATTACTTTTGGCTCGGATCATTTAACCGTCCACTTCACCTTGGGCTTCCCCTATAAGGTGATAA